TTCTGGGAGTTGAAGTCCACACATTTACAGTTGCTAAGGTTGAGAAGCACTGCTGTAAAAGATATGTGCATAGAAATAGTATTAATGTTGCATTCTGTGGCTTTCGTTTACCTTAACCTTTGCTCTCCTTCCCTTCCACTCATACATGTGTTTCAGCATGTATCTGCAACGAATGCACTTCATGTATCCAGTGAAATGAGCACAAAAGCTTAGGTCCCAATAAAAGAATACGTTAGCCTTTAAGATACTATAGTAAGGGCTTGTTTGACTATGTGCTATAACAAAATAACTAACCAGCTGGAATGTGGGACTTAACCAACAGTGAACATTGCACCAGGGCTCTTATTGTTCTTATTCAGGGCAGAAAGAGGCACAAGCAAAAAATGTATTTTGTAAAATTAATGACAAGCCTTATGCATTTCAGTCATGGTAATGCCTTCTTCAGAGCTATTTCGGTAAAGACAATCAGTTGCATGGATCGTATCCCTTATGCAGAGGAGGAACAATGGTCTGGTTAACTCAACATGATTGACCATGGTTCTTCACACTGCTGTGTGAGACAGCACATGTTTTGCATGCAGAGTGTGTCCAGCCCAGTTCCAGAGGCTTGCTGCCAGGTAAGGTAGACCAGTCCTCCTCTGACTTGGTCAGGCCCTGATGGGATGCTATGGGAAATGATGTCCGGAGCATCAGAAGGCACCAGGTTGAGGAACGTTAGAGTAGATGCTTGTGAGCTAACCAGACAGTGGTCTGATATCTCCCAGGCATGGGAGTCAGAATGTTAGTTGAGCCTGTGAGGTTTTGTTAATTGTAGTTGATGGGTTTATCCCAGTTCCCATTTTTTGCTTTCTTTTTGTTATATGTTGTTGGTTGGTTTTGTTACTTGTTATTTATATGGATATTTTAAAAATCATGTTTGTTCCCAGAGTCACTTTGCAAGATGGGCAGCTATCAAAATTGAATAAAATAAATAAATATTCACTATAAGAAGGTTTATTGTGTTGCTGATGTACGTGTGCTTTTTTTATTTCTTAAAGGAGGAAGACTTTGCATAGCCAGTTCTGATTCAACAAAATGATCAACTTCAGATGTGGGGTGTACTGCAGTGTCAGAGCAGCAAGATCCAGGTTCAGATCCTCACTAAATCATGCAGATCACTGGTTGATTTTAAGTCAGTCATTTTTACTCCCAATCTACCTCCTAGGTTACTGTATTGTTGAGATGATAAAATGAGAGAATACCCCTCCCCCGTGTACCTTTAGCGAAAAGAGGGGATCTAAGGGCAGTAAGTATATAAATAAATTCAAATGTGTCATCACGTAATAACAGGGATTAATCAGATGTGTTAGTTGCAGGTATGAACGTATGTACTGACCTTAGGACACTTGCTGTACATTTGAAGCAACAATCAAAATGTGGATTGCAGATATCTTTTACAAAAAAATTGCAGCAGCAGATCAGATTGCTGCATCTGTTCCCTTGGGACGGGAGCATGATCTAATTTATGAATCATTAATTTATTAATACAGGTTGCTGGTGTGTAACTTTCAGTGGTCACTCACAAATTCCTATCTTTGCCAAAATAAACATAATTACTAATCTCTCCAAAGTCAGAAGTTCTATTCTTGGGATTTAGTAGAAAACACGGATAAGTAAAAATATCCTGTTTGGTTGTGATATACTTCGCAACACATGCACACATACGTCCTCCCAGATGAATATGTACTTGTGTCTATATTCAGAAGATACACTGGTGTGATCTGATCTAAAAAAAGGGGGGGGGGGCAAGTATTGAAAACAATACTCTGAAGAAAATCAATGATAAACTACTTTACATTGTTGCCAAGATAACTGTATGACCATGACTGTGTAGTCACCAGAAATCAAGCTTGAACTAAATTTTACTAGGTTTTTCCATACTACATCCTTACGTGCCTTGACTCCATGCATAAAACAGTGGAAATGAAGCCAGCTTAAGTACTTTTTTACATTTCAGTCCCTTCTGCCACTTTGGCCACAGGGATGGCCTTGTGTGTTGTCCAAACCAGACTTACCCTGGCCCTGACTGATGGATTTCCATGATTCCTTATCCTTCCACTTGGCCAGGAAAGCAAGCACCAATAGGTTTCTTTTCCATGTTTGGGTCTCTGACATGTGGTTTTCACTGGTAGACTATTTGTATAATCTCCCCTTCTTTGACTGCTCCTAATACTTGGCATCTTCCTATCTGATGCATCTGCCAGGGGACTGCTTAAAAAGAGGAAATGAATGGATTGTTTTACCATTCTTCCTGTCATTGGGACTAGAATTAAAATGGGCAAAACTTTTTGTCAGTTTCACCTGGTCAAGAAGAGAGGGAGGAAGGAGAGGTTGGCTGGTTGATTGTGGCTTCCATCAATGAACTTATTTTAAAAAGCCCAGCCTTCTTTGTGTTATGCAGTAAACATAGATAGGAAAAATAGTGACCTTGGGCACCCAGCTTGTGCTGAGATGTCTCCCATAGCACCTAGGATGGAACACTTTTGATGAGCAGTTGCTTAGGTTACCAGCCTCAGTCATATCCATGACCTGTGCAGCATTCCCTGGTAATGGTAAGGACAATGCCAATAATTTTTGGCATATTTTGGCCAATATGTCATAACTGCAAGCAACATTCAGTTTATCTCAGGTCTACTCATGACATTTTATGCAAGGTTTGTCTGAGAGTTAAGTCTGGCAAGGTCAGAACCAAACATCCTGAAACCAGAATGGTCTTGTCACATTAATAAGAGATAGGTCAACTCTTTTCTGGTCCCAAAGCAGGAGCCTCTTAGCCTGTAACTTAACACTGGTGAAAGAAAGAGGGGCAAGAATGAGCCTTGCTTTTCCTATAAATATAGGTTGTATTTTATTCTTAGCAATTGTTAGATTTATTTTTTAAATGGTTTAACTGGCAGTTCCAATAGAGTATATTATATGTCCTCGAATCTCTGTTTGCAAAGCTTCTAGTTTCAGTACTGAATGGATGAAGCCTAACAGTAGGATCTCTAACCTAAAGACTAATTTGCAAGTCAATATACTGTTGCATTCACCCCACCAATAAGGAGATACATATAGTGTACTAATACACTCGAGATGCAGAATACAGACGTATATGGAATTATTTCAGATTTAGCCTTGCACAAATGAAATAATACAGACAAAGTGCAAGTAGAACCAAAACTTTATAGCACAAAGTTATTGGGCATACTAAGAATACTAAGAATAAATCAATTTTTTAAAAAAAATATTACTTCTCATTGGTCATTTAGCTGTTATTTCTGTCAGAGATAATGTTTCTGATTTTCAAGTACATATTATTCACCTGTAATGTGCCCAGAGGAATTAATTCACCAAAATGCATAATATAAAAGCTAGAAAAAAATTTAGAACATCAACATTTAACCAATTTTAAAACATCTGGTGAAATCAGTGAAACTAAGTCTCACTGCTTCAATGGCTCAATTCATTTAACATTCTTGGATGAGTTATTAAACTAGTGTGGCATACAAACCCACACGATAGGTTCCATTGTGATTAAGGTGTAGCTCATCACAGTTTCATGTATGATTCATCATAAATTTACTTACTTCAGATTCCAGGAGTGAGGATTAAGTTGAACTTAGCTCTTCCTTCTGACCTCTGGACATTATGTCAGGAGACCAGAGAGGCTGCTAGGCTGCAGCCTCTCTTCCCATTTTTTTCTCCACACATCTTCATAGACATTAAGAGAGGGGGCATAACAGGGACAGCATCTCCCTCCTCCCCCCTTCTCTGATCCTGATTGGGCCAACACATCAATTTTACATTGGGGAGGAAGAAAAAAAAGTGAGTAGCAGCTGGCCAACCACCTCAAAGATAGCTAGGATGCTATCTAACATTGCTGCTACCTAGCCAATCAGGATTGACTTTGTTTTGATATGTTATTTAAGATTAGAGCAATGAAAAAGTAGCTGGATGACTGTATCATGTAGACATGCTCAGTGTGTCGATAGTAAATATGACTAAATCAAGATACAAGCTCAGATATTGCTATCATCCATTAATCACATTTTATATTTAAAGCAAAATATAATTTAGCCCTGCTTCTCCCAAGCTATATTTTCATCTAAAAAAATGAGAAATGTTCTCTTCATGGTAATGTTCCATTCTTTCTACAAACATAGCAGAAAATGAAAGGTTGAGAAACTGATGAATTTGAAGAAATATTGTAATTGTTTTCCAACAAAGAACTGATTATAGCATAAATCAGGTGGTGTTGCTTAAGAAGTGGGGCTAAATCCACTGAAATTTTGGTAATATGAAAACATATTAATCTTAACAGATTAAGTAAAGAAAAAACATGCAGCAGCCCAACCTGGAATGAATCCAGTAATATTAAGAAGTAGAAATACATACATTGTGTTAACTCATGGTTGGCCTAAATAAGGTTTGTTGAATAAATCATACATAACACACACATTTGATACATGACCTGAAACCATAAACCAAATTGTCCATGTTGTATTTACTTAGGATGAAGTTTCCACAGGGTCGTAGTCCTAATCTTTAGAAATAGAATTTAAGAAATGTATGCATATTCTCAGCCTCTGTTTCAATATAAAAATTTTATTGAACCATGTAGAGAAAATGACTAACAAACCTTTGATCTGCTTACTCAGTTTCCATGTGTCATCTGCCTATTATTCTTTGCTATTACAGCTTTTATCTTGTTCTTCCTTGAAAGATCAATAAATTATTAGTATGCCACCCACACTGGGTTATATTGGGGGTTTCTGTGAAATTAGTGAGTAATTTAATGGTACATGAACTAATCATTCATTTTTATTTGTACTGTGGATAAGAGTCTGAAATCTTTTCCTTTTTTCCCAGTCTAATGAGAGAGAGAGTTCACTGGCTCAAATATTCTACCATCAATGGGAAGGGGAGTTACAATAATCTTCTTCCAACTACTGACTGTCTTGGGGAGGCTGGTAGAATATTAACAGAGCTTCTGGTTGTCATGACAAATTCAGAGGTTGTTCCGAACATAATCTCATTGGGGCGGGAGAGATGCAGAAATATGAGATCATGACAATGTTAGGCTTATAAATTGTCAGAGCTTTGGGCTGCTGGCAGACTGAACTCTGTGAAAGAAAGTGGGATCCAAAACACAAGTGGATTGAGGCAAACTATAAGAAGCTTTTGTTAAAAATAAAATCAAGATCCAAGGAAAGGTTTACCTTCGCTAGTGGAGTTTGCAGTACAATTTCGGAAATATGTGTTGTGGAGGGTGTGCCAAGTGTCTTGGAGTTACTCTCATTCCTCTAGCTCTATTATGCATTCTCGCCAATATTTTGTTATTTTTTCCTGGGGGAACAATTGAAACCAGCGACCATATTTCAGATGAAGTTTGGTACTTTGGAGGAATTTTGGGTTCTGGTGTACTGGTGAGTACGTCAAGTACCCCGTTCTTTTTCTTTTTATCATATTGAGTTTACAGGCTTTATAGAAGTTCATCTGCCAATATACAGAAGTTTGTTACAACCTATGATTGGAATTAAATTATAATCTGCTGAATAAGCGGGTTTGAAATTAAAATATAAATTGAATATGAATTAAATCTGTTATAAAGAAAACAGATGCTTATCTGATGATGCAGTAAAAACAACATATATATCTAGATGTCCTTGGTGAATAAACATATAAGCAGCGTTTTGTTGAATCAGACTACACTTTATTAGACTAGCATTATTTTGTTAGAGCAGTAGCCAATGCAGATTAGAAATGAGTATAAACATGTTTCTGTAAAACATATTACTGGTTGACTTTCCTTGTGTTTGTGTGTGTTAGGATGTTTCCAGTCAAATGCTAACAATTAAACTTGGAAGTAATTCCTGCTGCATTCAGTGGCATTTTCCAATTCATTGTGCTTTGGTGGACAGCATCATTGGATTAGAATGATCCTGTTGCTTACACAGTAGTAAACCCGCTGGTTGCAATGATGACATTTCAGAAAAGAAATGGCATTGCAGGATCCAGATTAGATGCAACTAAATAGAGAATGATTATGCCTCACTGTGATTTTCTGTTTTCTCCAGATGGTGTTTCCTGCTTTGGTCTTTTTGGGTCTTAAAAATAATGATTGTTGTGGGTGCTGTGGAAATGAAAACTGTGGAAAGAGATTTGCTGTAAGTATAGAAGCAATAAGAACCTCTAAGTAACGATTAAGATGGAAATATATATTCCATTCATCACCACAAAAACATTACTGTGTTCAAGACCATCTTGCTAGCTAGGCTCCATTTTTGCCCACCCCACCCAAAGAAATACTTAAGAAAAAAACATTTTGGATTTTACTTCTGAAAATAGACTCATATTGATTTTCCAGATTCTATTCTTGACAAAATCCCTAATGGTTTGTGTACCTCCCCCCAACTTTTTTTTTTTTTTTGCAAAGCTTTTGAATTTCTTTGAATGCAATGGTTTCACCTGGCTCCATTCAGTGACAGCAATATATAATCTTAGATTTCTAAGATGCGTATTGTATTTTGAGAGCTCTAGGACGGCAGCAAATTCCATAAAGCAATGATGTGATGGGGAGAAGTCCACATCTCCTGCTAATAAGTTGTTGGATGATTCTCAGTTGTATTATTATAGGAAAAGGTTTTTTAAAAAACTTTTCTCTATCCATTTTCCCCATCCCATTCATAATTTTATCATGTATCACCGTTCTACCCCTTGATCATTTTGCTGCCTTTTCTTCTTCCTTCCTTCCTTTCCTTTCTTTCTTTCTTTCTTTCTTTCTTTCTTTCTTTCTTTCTTTCTTTCTTTCTTTCTTTCTTTCTTTCTTTCTTTCTTTCT